TTTTACCAATATTGGCTGCTAGAATACTGTATTAACAAAGTACTCTATTCCTTTGCTGTTCTGGCTGCAACCTCAGTCACTGCTATGCTTGTATGTGCTAGGCTATCTACTAATCTGCTAATATGTCATAGTATGTTACATCCTCCTTTGCACAGCTCCACATATTCTTCAGTACCGTGAACTGCCTGTGTTCTGTTTTGTATTTATTGCACTGTATTGTCTGCACTGTGTATATTGTATTGTTTTGAATGCTGTTTTGTTTCACTGTGTATTTGTAAATAGCTGAAATGACAATAAAGCCTCTTCAACTTGAACTTACCTGGCCTCTGTCTGCTTTTGAAATCCAGTCTTCTGTAAATTCGCTTTTCTGTCAGCGGGTGTTACGTTACTGGCAGTCATGCCTCGGCAATCAATCAGGGGAAATTTTGTCACTGTGTCCTTCTGTAATACAACAACAACACAGGTCAATTATCAATGATTTTGTCATTGTTTGTTGGAAAATGCAGTATAAGGGCTGTCAAAGTTAACATGTTAATAACCTGTTAACACACTGAATTACCAATTAATACACAAGTACAGGTTAGCAAACATGGCAAGAAAGTTCAATATCAGAGCATAGAGAGCAAGTGGGGTTAAATTAAGGGACGATTCAGGGAAAAAAAGAAGGCAACAAAATCAGAAGGTCATCACATCCAGAATCATGAGCAAGAAAGTAACGCATGCTTTCATTTGACAAAAGGTGAAATAGACCTACTTTTCTCCCAGTGCTCTGCATCCTGCCTCTTCTTGACAGAAGGTCTCTGTCTTCACTGTTTTGAGGCATCATTTCTGTCAATGTTTATCGTAGTCCTCGATCCTTAACACTGAAATCTATATGGCAGACAGACAAGAGAACACTAGTTTAGAAATGGCACAGGAACGGTTAATGGAGAGGCAGGGAGTTTATAAAGCGACAGTGGGGGGTCAGGGTTAAATCAGAGATATTGGGGTTGTGTTGCTGAAGATCCCACCTCTCTACAGGGGGAATACAAGGAAAGCAAACAGGAAAGAAGAGATTGGAGTGGTTGCAAGGGTGGGCACAAAAGAAAGCACTGCAGTCTTGTAAAGTAAGGAACCATTTAGACCAAGAAGTGAAGAGGCAAACTTCAGGAAGTAGCAAGTTTGGAGATATATGGGCAGAATAGATACAGGGCTACAGGGAGGGGGCTGTGAAGAATGTGGGGCTATGAAAATGGAATAATATTTTTTTTTCACACTGGAATCTAAGAAAACCACATGGTCTAAATGAAATAATAGCACAATTACAAACAATATGGAAAAATGAACCACAACACAAATGCTAGCCTAAACAACGGGGCTATGGAGATCGGGCTGTTGGGAATGTTGTTGAAACTATAAGGCAGGGGTCGCTACCCAAATGTTAAGAAGAGCCATTTTGTCCTTTCAACAAAAATCAAACCACAACATTTTATGCCCGTTTTACCATCATGGCTATAAATATGTCTCAGTATGTGCTAATGTCCTAGTATGGGCTAAAAACCAAATAAACAAATACACAAAACACAGACTTACTGTGCTTTAAGCTTTAGCTCAGCTGTAGCCGCTTTTACACAAAAGTAGAATAGTTTCTTGTAAAATGTCTCTTAATGTCCGACTTTTTACGAGGCTGAAGTCGCTTCTCATTCGCCAGCTTCTTGTTCGTATTCCCCGGTTCCACCTTAAATGGTGCCTGAGGCGCCAGAATGTAACTGCTGCACCATTTAAGGTGGAAAGGGGAAATTTATACGAGAATCTGATTTCAGCTTCACAACTTTTTACTGTTTGACAGTTCCTCGATGCCGATTAAATGTATCAGGAAATCAGCTGGAGTGATTATAAAAGCAAATAAGTCCGTTTGTCTCCAAACTGTCAATGTTTGTCTTAAATCTCTCTCTCGTTGCCTTTTCATTAGCTACTAGCTGGGCAAGACTGTTGTCTGCGTTTCTATGGTGACCTGCAGTCTGCACACAGCCTTTAACCTTTGAGGGTTAAAGGGTGAATTAGCAGTTATACTTTAACTCCAAAGGTTAAGGTCGTTTATTATGACAGCGTTATAAACATTTAGAAGATAAAGTAATTTTTTTATAATTTTTTTAAACTTTATTGTAAAAAGAACAGTGCAATAGACTTACCCTACTAGTACAGTCCAAACGGAGCACCTTTCCTCTATCATGGAACTCTGAGACTGATAAACTGTGTAGCTGTGCAGGAGAATATATACTACTGGGAGAACTTCACCCATTATGACGTCACAGCCAGGCCACGCCCACCGAGACGACATTGCGTCACTGTAATGTAATCGATATGCCACGCCCTGTCACGTGTTTATGACGGGTTTTTTTCTTTCTTTGGTAAAAAGTGTGCATGTTATTGACAGCTCATCCTGCAGGGGGCGCTATAATAGAGCCTTGTTATGAAAAAGGAGAAGGTAAACTATGCCAGACTGAACACAGTGTATTTAGTTTATTCACCACACAGTGACAGTCACCCAGTGCAGCACGGACAGATTAAGGTTTATTGTTTATTTTCAGTTTCCCTAAGAGGTCGAGTGTAGAATAATCCCCCTTTCACACTGACCTCTCAACCTGCCTCCTCTCATTCTTCAATTATCTGGGTTTTTTTTCATTCTCAGATTAAAAATGAAACTTGTTTAATAGTACAGACTTGGAAAAGATGGTTCTTCAAGGGTTCTTTAGTAAAGACAATGGTTCTATTTAGAGCCATGAGTTCTAAATAGAACCATCTCATGCTTAAATGGTTCTTCGCATGGTGAACTGGCTCCTCAGATTGATGAAGAATTTTTTTCTTTTTCATCTATGTTTTTAAAATGGTTCTATTTAGCACCAAAAAAGGGTTATTCTATTGTTATGAAAAAAAAAACATCTGTTTTAAGAGTGTAGAACTCATGGTTCTAAAAAGAAACATTGCCTCTAGTAAACAACTCTTGAAGAACTGTATAAGAGTGTAGAACTCATTATTTGAAATAGAACAATTGCCTTTACCAAAGAACCCTGAAGAACCATCTTTTTTTGAAGAGTGTAGAACTCATGATTCTAAATCAAACCATTTCCTTTACTAATGAACCCCTGTAGAACTGTCTGTTTAAGTGTGTAGAACCCATGGTTCTAAATAGAACCATTGCCTTTACTAAAGAACTCTTTTAGAACTGTCTGTTTAAGTGTGTAGAACTCATGGTTCTAAATAGAACCCCTTCCTCTACTAAAGAATCCTTGTAGAACCGTCTGTTTAAGTGTGTAGAACTCATGGTTCTAAATAGAACCCCTTCCTTTACTAAAGAATCCTTGTAGAACCGTCTGTTTAAGTGTGTAGAACTCATGGTTCTAAATAGAACCATTGCCTTTACTAAAGAACCCTTTTAGAACCATCTATTTAAGTGTGTAGAACTCATGGTTCTAAATAGAACCCCTTCCTCTACTAAAGAATCCTTGTAGAACCGTCTGTTTAAGTGTGTAGAACTCATGGTTCTAAATAGAACCCCTTCCTTTACTAAAGAATCCTTGTAGAACCGTCTGTTTAAGTGTGTAGAACCCATGGTTCTAATAGAACCATTGCCTTTAATGAAGAGCCCCTGTAGAACCGTCTGTTGTACTGTGTACTGTGTACTGTGCAGTGTCTGGGCTGCAGTGAGCCGCTGTTTAATAAAGTGACTCAAACTCACTGAAATCACTGCAGCCCACAGTGAGCCAGTGAGCCAGTGAGCCGCTGACCTGCCCACCGCAGACCGGGAGCCGTTTCCGAACTCCAGTTCTTGGTCTGTGCGACTTTCCATACTGAAGCGGAGGGACGTCACGGCTCTCGGTCCGCTCCTATTTGTCGGAGCCGCGTGCGGACGTCATGACGTACCGATGCCAAACAATGGGCAGGAAAAAGCCACGTTGACGAACTCGGTTGAAGTCTGCCTGATTTTTTCTTCGCGAAAACAAGTGTTTATCTTCTGCAGCGCGCAGCTCTTTGGCCTTTTCGTTAGAGACGCGATACGTTAGCCATGTCATCGCCGCCGAAAGAGAAACACGAAACTCGAGCTGGACACCCCCCTGCAGGTATTAACACAATGCTGCTGTTGTTGTTTTTCTCCTGTAAGTTGCAGTTAAGATGGCAGAAGACAGGATTCCTCAGTTAACCATAAAACCTAAGCGTTTCCAGAAGAAGACGAGCTAAGGAACATTCGTACCGGGTCATACTCGCTTTTGGCTGAAGTCAGACTTAATGAGAGATTCTGCTTTGTGAAATAGCCCAAAGGCTCGAAGGAGCTGGCTAGCTAACGTTAACGTAGCCATTTGTTTTCATTTGTTTTCATTTGTTTTCACAGCATTAGGTCAGCTAGTTTTTTGTCTTCGAGTTCATGCGATGAGTCAGTAAGTCAGTAATCAGATTGTGCCTGCAGAATAAGATTTAGCTGGTGCTTCGAGGCTGTATTCGCATTTTCCCGTTCCACCTTAAATGGTGCAGCAGTTGCATTCTGGCGCCCAGGCCAGCCTTAGGCGCCCAATGTAACTGCTGCACCGTTTTAAGGTGGAACGGGCAGATTCGAACAAGGTGCTGCAGTTTTTTACTCATAAACCTGCACTGCCAACCTGTCAGCCTGTCCTGTGTGAAATGCACAACTGATGATATACTGAATATGTGGGCTCATAAGTAGGGCACGGGCTTCCTTGGTGGAAATCAAAAACATGTTTATAGCTTAAAAGTTGTTGGTGTAATAGATATAATATGATATTTTGGACTCTAGTGTGATTTAGATTGCTTATTAGATATTACTAGAGATAATTTAGAAATCATTGCCTGCTCAGCTCTTATCTGTTGCATTATCTCATTATTGTGTTGGAACAGTCAAAGCAGGAGGCATGAGGATAGTCCAGAAACACCAGTCTGCTGGCGATTCAGCAGCGGACAGGAAAGAAGACAAGGACAGTAAAGAGTTCGAGAGTTGCAGGTAAGAAAGTTTGACTTTGACCTTTTCTCACTGCACACAGCAGTGAAGCGCTCTCTCTCTCTTACGCTCTCTCTTTCTATCTCTTTATCAGTGTCAGCTTTGTCGGTGTGGTAAAGAATCTTGGAATTCATGCAGATTTATTATCAAAGCCAGTTGTATATGATTTATTTCAGCGTGTTTGTGCAGCTGTCACACTGAGTGTGGTCAGGTGCACTCTAGCTACTTTTTTCACATAAAGGAAGTCGACTACTTTTTTCACATAAAGGAAGTCGACTACTAAACATTAACACTGTTATGTAATAACACTAGTTACTCCAAATGTACTCTGCTCCTGCCAAAGCAACATTACTACCACAAAACCTGCTCGTTTATTTAGGGTAATTCGGTGAGGTTATCAGTCTCATAATGTCAGGTTATTGTATGGCAGTGTTCGCTCACATGTGGCAAAATCATATTTTGGCTTCTTAATGGCTCCTTTGTAGTTCAGAGGCTTGTTTAACATTCAGTGGACATATGTACATAGGACGATCGCAGTGATTTTCAAAAATCACGTTCAGTTTTGTTATAGAGAATCCAACTCCTCATATGGGCATGATGCCATCTCCAGAACGATGCACAAATTGAAAGGTCTGTTTGGTAGCCTATACATCAATGGTCGAGACCGCCACATGACTATTGCAGAGTATTATTTGAGTGGTGAATCATGCTCAGCACTGCAGTGACACTGACAGGGTAGTGACATGGTAATAAAAGTGCATCATACACAGCAGTGTTACTGGATTTTTTTGATAGCTGGACTGAGAATAGTCCACCAACCAAAAATATAAAGCCAATAGCATCTTATGGCCAGAAACTGATCATTGATGAAAGACTAGAGGATAACTAACACCAACTGTGTAGCACCAGATGAGCGGTCTTCTTTAATTTTACATCTTCAAGGTGCAGCAAAAGTTGTGTGTCTAATAAAGTGGGCAGTAAGTGGTCACAGTGTTTGAAAGCTTATTCACTTATTCACTTAACACTTATTAACATCACTACCGTATCAGTGTTATTCAGAATGATCATCCGCCCAAATAATACCTCCTCTGTGGTGGTCCTGTGGGCGTTGTGACCCTTGATGAAAGGAGTAATGGGGCTAACAAATTATGGAAAGAAATTAATTGCAGAACTGCAACATGCACATATATGGTAAGTAGACCTGATAAAATGAACAACAACTACGTTTTGGTGCACACAGATGGTTCGATATTAGCTGAAAGTGATAGTCTAACTGAGCTATGATTGTGCAAACAGTGTGGTTTGATTGTTGTAGTCCAACTGAGGTCTTTGTTGACCTGAGCTTAGTCCAATTAAAACATGCGGTCCAGGCTGGTACTGGCCAGGCTATTTGTGACAAATCTGAACATGTAAGTGCTTAAAACGTTCCACTAACTTGCACAAGGAGTTTTTTGCGAGTTTTTCTGGGGTACAGCTTATTATACACATGGGAACTAAACTCTGGAAAGTAGATCTCCAAGAGGAGAGTTGGTGACTACTGGCCCGTGATACATTTTGATAATGCTTAATAACATCTACCTTTTTTAATGGTACCAACTTTTTTAGATATGAAAAAAGCACATTTAATAAACCGAAAAAAAGATTATTTAAGGAGTTAATACCAGTTAGGTGTACCTTATAAAGTGGGCTGCGAATGTGAAAGTTTCAACTTAACAAAACTCTTTGCTCCACATGTGGAATATGAGTCCTCATTGTGCAATTTCCCAGCCACAGGTGTGCAGTTCTCATCGGATTGTAGAAGTGTAGGCAGGTGTTAGTGTGCATGTGTCTGAGTGGCACAGCTCCAAAAATAAACCCCATCTTGCTCATTTTGCATTCGACGGAGAGCGTTTCCTCACTGACACACCAAAACGACCAGAACATTTCCCGCCACAGCTACATTCGTGCTGTCCAGCTGCTGCCATTCAGCTTAATGAATATTTCAGGCCGTCTCGGGACCATGAAATGAAGACTGATTTCTATTTGCTCTGCTGTTGGTACTAGACTGGCGTTTAGTTTTTTCTTTTTTTTTCGTTTGGTGACGGTGAAGGAAACGCTGGCGCAGAACAGGGTGTGTCCTCCCCACCCGACTGCCGGATATGACCACATCTTCCTATTTTTATTTTTTTTGTGGTCTAAGGCCTTTTCTGTATTGATTCTCTTTTTTTCAAGGTGGAACATGGCTGCACTTTCAAAAGAAAGTCACATGTTACCGTTTAGATCTCTATGTTCGTCTCAGGCACTTTGAAATCTGGCAGTACTATTTTTAGCAGGTTCTCTCTTTTTCCATAAAATTGAGTTGAGGCTGCAAGTCAGTATTAGAGCAGGGTGGCTGTAGACCAGGCTGTGTCTGCCTGCCCCTTTGGCTCATTGCCTGATTACTGATCCACATCTGCAGTCTAGTGAAGCTTGCAGGTGAGGCCTTATCAGTGCCCAAGATAGCTGCCTTCCAGCCTTCTGGAAGCCCTGACAACTCTCACAGGGCTGCACAATGTCTGATTGGTTAACCGTTATCATGATATTAGCCTTTGCAATACTGATAGTGATAGTATTTTATTGTAGTGGAGGTTATTTTGGACTTAATCTCATTTTGGCTAAACCATGTTGCATTATAGATTCATCAGTTTGTATATTGCAAAGCATGTCACATGAGTTGTTTAGTAACCATGTTGCACAGCCTTGCTCTGTCACTTTGATTGATACTGAGTTGGGCTGTAATGAATATTCTATAAAATTTGATGAACATGATCATTACAAATTCAAAAAAGGGGGGATGCCATTTGAATAACCAGAGTAACTTTTACCCATTTTTAAGACACCACTCTTCTCCGTGCACCTGTTTTTGTTAGTGTGATGGGAAACAAACTTCAGTTTATCAAGCTAAACTCCAGCCAGTCACTAGTAGCCCATATAGCAATGTATTTAAAGAGAACGAGAGAATCACGTCATACAAAACGGGTTTATGGAGGGCCTTTTTCCACGTGAGTCAAATGGTCCTTTCTTGTCAAAGCAAGTTGTTTCCTGCCATGTTGATATCTCTGCAATAGTCAGAGGTACAAGTTCCTAACTGTATGTGTTGGAGCTCTAATTTTAGGTTTTAATGTCAGTCTTAATCCCCTGGATTAACATGTTATGCTACTTGCTAAGACAGTAATTGTTTATTAGTGATGTTTTTCTAGTTCACCTAGATTACCTAGTATAATGGTAGTATATTCAGTTTATTAACAAAGCTTAAATAAAAAAGAAAACAAGGAAGACGCAACAGGGGTTATAGGAAAGGCCAAAAAAACAGAAGAGCACCTTAAATTTTGGTACATGGCCCCCTGAATGCCCCTGCTTTTGGCATTGCCTGAGATTATTGGCAAACAGAGTGGAAACTGGAAGTTTTCCTGTGTTGGCGCTATGTACGTGACTCTATAAGCTTGGTTTGAATCAGGAAATGCATAGGGGTTTAGGGTGGTGAACGTGGTTTTTACTGTAACAGGATCCGTCCAGCCTGCTTCCGTACCACATGCGTACAGTTGTGCTTTCTTTGGCATCTGAAACCTTGCTTCAGCATTTTCCTTCATACATCCAACAGTTCTGCTCTAAATATAGTAGCCCAAGATTACCATGGAAACTTAACCAACCCTGTGGTTTAATTTGAAATGGTAGCATGCTGTTGTAATGGGCAGTGCAGGAGGGAGAAAATAGTTTTGGTAATGTAGAGGAATGCAGGGAAATCCAGTTGCTGACTCATGTGTCAAATAAGGATAGACACATCAGACGTCTCAGCAAGGGGGCCAGCTTTGTCTCAGCAAGTGTTCCATGTCATTTGTAGGGCTTGTCATGCATCAGTCTTTGTTTTCTCTTGGGTAAGAACCTGTGGGTGCCAGAGCGTGCTTCATATGCCTAACCACCTGCCCCCCTCACACACATGCATACTCATACCCACACATGCTCAGCACCCAACCACCCCCCACCCATCTCTGCTCACGCAGAGCATGCCCAGTGTGGGAGTGGTAAGCAGGTGGCTTCTAGTGGAAAAATTGCGCATTTGTTGCAGCACGTCAAACAGGATAGTCTGGGGACTACCTGCCGGATGCAATTTGGGCTCTTCAGGTGGATGGAAGGCCGAAATGGAATTGCTCAGAGACGCTGATGTGATGTGCCATCAGGCCAGGCTCATGCCGTGCCGCTGACATCTGCCCGCAGTGCAGGGACCCCCACCCACCCTTCATTCCATACCCCAGTACCTCAGCCAGTCGTGTTGGCCTGTTCCTAGAAACGGACCCTGTAACAGAGAGTGATTTGTTAGAAGACTCCATGCTGTTCGGAAACAGGCCGGAGCGTTTAATCCGGTTTCAGGTTCACTGACTTGTCTGATGGCAGCATGCTCTTGCTCGGTGGTGGACTGGCCTGGCTCTCGTGGTTTGGGTTAACAATAAAGATTTTTAGGTGGGTAATATGACAGCATCATTATTGTAATGAATTTTATTCTTGTGATAGTGTGCTTTTCTGAGAATATCATGGATATTGTTAGTACTTAACACTAAACAGCTGCATGTGTCATTAAGCAGGGCAAAGAATTATTTCTCTACAAAATATGTTCAATACAAAATGTTAAATATTGAATAATAATCATTGTACTGGTAGTTTTTAAAACATTTTCCCCAATTTTCTGCCCAATTTAGACATATCCAGTGCCACCCACTAGTCAGAACTCCTCTAATCACACGATACCACCAGCGCTAGGAGGGCGAAAGCCTGCGCAGGCTTTCTGTGAGATGAAGAAGCCACCACATCTTTTCGAACTGCCGCTAACACAGTGTCATTGGACAGCTGACTGCATTCTGAGGAAAGCGCCAACTGCTAGTTCTGTTATATCAGCTAACAGATGTGTGCGCTGGCTAGCGTTGCGGTGTGTGATGGGAGGGGACAGGGGATCTGTCCGACCCACCACCCAAGAGTGAGGCCAGTTGTTCTCTCTTGGACTCCCAGCCACGGATGTCTGTAGCATTACAGGGATCCTGATGATAGGGTCAGCGCTTAGACGGTTATGCCACTCAGGAGCCCTACTGGTAGTTTTTAAATGGGGCCCTACTAGGTATTGTATGTTTGTGTCACAACATTGTGATACGTATCATGTGTCGTGAAAATGTCAATGCCTGTTTTTGTTTGTGTCTGTACCATTTTCACTGGGAATGAATGAAACTGAAAAGTGATGTTATATACATATCATCACTCTCATAAACTTTTGAAAAGGTAACTTTTATAGAAGGGAGAACAACCTTTCAGTTAAAGTTAATGTAAGAACATTTTATTCCAAGAAATCCTGGGCCATAGAGGAGCTCATAATTTGCAGTGGTATATAAAAATAAACAATAAAAAATGCTGTTAAGAGGTTTTCTTAACTCAATGACAATATTGTAAAATAGTTTGACACCTAAGAAAATTATACTTAAAAAGCTATTCATTTGGGTAATAAGCATTTATTTGCTCAAAAAAACACTAATATTAGAAGGAATACAAACGAGATTACAACAGAATTAGTAGTAATTTTATGCATGTCAATGTTTTTGTTAAATAATTTCCAAACCTCTCCTTTAGGAAGCCCAGTACTCTTTGTCAACCAATAACTGGTTTGGCTATACAATCTTTCATTATGTTCAGTCGGAAGTGCTGGAGGTGGATTTGAACAAAACTGTGCAATAGCTGTTTGTTTACGTTAATTCCATTGTTATGTCTTTTTTTATAAGCAGAATCACGCATATTGCCATGATTAATGGTTTATGCACAGTGGTGTATACACAGAGATATAGAGAATATATATAGAAAAAACACTTCGTATGTATCTTGCACTTTCTTTACAAACATTGAAATGACTGTTATAATTACACATTCAGTTCAGTTCATTACTGTAGTTGTAATGCTATTATGTTAAACGGTCTGGCTGAGGAGTTTCAGCCTTTTTTATCAAGAACGCAGACAACATGTTCCAGCTTTGGTTGTAAGCATCAAGGGCCTGTGATTGCAGTTGTAATCCCGGGAGAGGCTTGTGCTGGAAAGCGACAACATATGGTACAGAACATGAGTGACTTACTCTCATGTTTTTGCACTCATGGAAATTGTTTCACTTGGAAAACACTTGGAAAGTTGCTTTTTGCTTAACTTTTGCTTAGCTTTGTTGTCTTGAAACACCCACCACTTTCTCTCTGGCCTTTAACTGTAACGACAGCTGCAGTATCCAGTGGCAGAGCAGAGGCAAACGCTGAATCTTTCAGAGATGTTTCAGCATGTAACTAGTGACTAGTACAAGGCAGTACTGGCAAGTGACAGATCAGTCAAATAGCCTGAGGGTGCATTTATATTTGTAGTTCGGTTCACCGAAGCACAAAATGATACATTTTTGAATTTTAGTTCTCAGCATTCACACTCACATATTTGACATTGAATCAAAATATGTAAACAAAAGTCATATGAATAAAAAGTTATTTGACCATTTGAACAAATTTTAGGACTTAACCAGGATAACATGCTTCTAAAAGCTCCCTCACAATAAAGTCACTCATTCATGTTGGAAAGTTACATTCAGTAATTCAGATTGTTTGTTTTAAGTCAAAATAATACCCAGAATTTACCACTATTTTACCATTATCAACATAATGAAACAGACTGTAGTCCATCTGTTTCTCTGCATACTTTGTTAGCCCCCTTTTACCCTGTTCTTCAGTGGTCAGGACCCTCATGGACCCTCACAGAGCAGGTACTATTTGGGTGGTGGATCATTCTCAGCGCTGCAGTAATTAGGAGTAAGGACTATTCTCAGTCCAGCAGTGACACTGAGGTGTTTAAAAACTCCAGCAGCACTGCTGTGTCTGATCCACTCATACCAGCACAACACACACTAACACACCACCACCACATCAGTGTTACTGCAGTGATGATCCACCACCCAAGTAGTACCTGCTCTGTGAGGGTCCGTGGGGGTCCTGACCACTGAAGAACACGGTAAAAGGGGGCTAACAAAGTACGCAGAGAAACAGATGGACTACAGTCTGTAATTGAAGAACTACAAAGTGCACCTATATAGTAAGTGGAGCTGATAAAATGGACAATGAGCGTAGAAACAAGGATAATGTCATAATGTTATGCCTGATCAGTATATATATGTATATGTGTCTGTGTGTGTGTACGTACAGGGTGATTGAAAAAGATTCATCCAATTTCAAAATGATTTATTTCACTTGTAAATCATTACAGAACAATGCAGTAAATTGTAAATGGTTAAAGTCAGCATAAAGTTTATGTAATTTTACAAGTGCTCAATATGAACCACAACATCAACCTGATAGTCCCATCCCATGCTCTTTCATTGCGATTTCGGAGATCATCCAACGTTGTTGGAAGTGGCACATAAACAGAATCCTTAACGTACCCCCACAAAAAAGGTCACACGACGTGGGATCTGGTGATACTGGTGACCTTTTTCTTGGAACTGTTGGTACCAACGATGAATGCTCTGAGCTGTTGGAGGTTCACTGCCATACTGACGGTCAGAAACTCTATGACCCCCTTTTCAACAGGTATGTGATTGGTTACTAGGCGCCTCACAGTTGTAAAAATATGGCACTTTGAATCTTTTGGATCTTTTTGAATCTTTTTGTGTGTGTGTGTGTGTGTGTGTATATATGTATGTATGTATGTGTGATGTAAGCTCAGTTCACCAAGACTCTATGCTATCACTTTTCTGAAGTTTGTCATGGTAATCATTACAAAATCGGAAGACACTTCCTTCCACCACACCTCTTTTTTTTTATTTTCTTATTTTGAGTTCTTAGATCGAAACCGCCCTCATATAGCACAGTAAATCACACTCCACTGCAAGCTGCTTTCCCTACATTGTCACATTGCCGCAACTGAACAAATGTTCAGCTGGAACCAAGGTCAGTGTGGTGTTTTCCACAGGACGTGAGAACATGATTTCTGATAAAGTTGAGCAGTGCTGAACTTCTTCGCGTTGCTTGTGGTCATGCCTCTGCTGAGTGTCGCTGGCTCTCATTCAAAATGAATGACTTATGGCTGCCTTGGCGCTTTTGTCGCTGGCGGTGTGCACACAGGGTTAGAGTACACTAGCTGGCTGGGTCAATAAAAAGTACAGCATAGAATAAAAATAAAAACTGCCATGGTGGAAAGCTGTTTCTCAATGTTACTAATATACAGTGTTGGCATAATATTATTCTTTTATTTGCACATGATACAAACTCACACATAGAAGTTTAATTCAATCAAATACGTCTCAGAAATGGAGTGTTTGGGGTGTGTGAGAGTAAACACCCCCTGCAGTGTGCAGGGTGAGTGGCTGTCGGGGTAGCGTCATTAGCTGAACCCTGCAGCAGTGGTGAGTGAGTGAGTGCACGGCTCCAGGGCTGCTTCACTGGCTCTGTTCAACAAGCTTCATCTACCACTGCAGAGAAATCCGCTCTACACAGTTCTCTCAATTTGGCCACCTGAAGGCAATCCACAACTGCTCCCACTGCGCCCATTCTGCAGAAATGAAATGCATTCTCATTGCGCTTTTCTTCGCCAGAAATGATTATTATGATTATTTTGAGCTGAGATTATTCACTGCAGGTACTCGTCCTTAGCACAGCTTCCTACATTGTTTTAGTGCACAGAACCTGCAGACTGTGAATTTTAGTGCAGGTTCAGTATTTTATTGCTTAATCAGTACACGATCAAGACCCAGTCCACATAATTTTACAGTATTTAGGGATCAGTTCAGTCAGCACAACTAATGTTGCTAACGGTTAATTAACTAGTTAGAATTATGCAAATGCAGTCATGCTAATTGGTGGTTACTAGGTTCTACTTCTTGTTAACAACTGTGGAAACAAAATATAAAACGTCCCATAACCTTTTCACATGCCATATTTTATGGTTGACTTTTTTCCAGTATGTTAAATTCAGCAAACACTAATTGTGCTTTAAAGTCTTTCTTGGAGTGCTGCCACAGAAGAACCACTTTCAGTTCCCTGAAGAACGTTTCAATGGATGGATATTTTTCCCAAAGAATCCTTTTGTGCCTTTCGTCTTTTAGAGCTTACTACAATTTCTCTGCTTTTCATTGAAGTTCTATTTGTTTGCAGTGCACCACCTCACTTCTGTATACTGAGTCATCACTGTAGTGCTATTTTATGATCAGCAAAAGCATAATTTTTCGCACAGTCAGTGGTGCCGGTTCCTCTTGGTTAAAACGTCTAAAGTCCAGAGGCAAACAGACTGCTCAGCTTTAAGCCCGCTCATCTTATCATGAACTCTCAGTGGCAAGATAGCATTGAAGGTGAGGCTGTAACCTGTAGTGCGCAGATATAGGTGCTTGTGCCCTTGAGGTGTTGCATCATTGAGTGTAAGCAGAGAGATACGTCATCGTCCACAGATCTGTTGGCCCAGTAAGCGCATTTTGAAAGGCTGGTGAGCAATTATTTAACTAGCACTGACTCAGAGTAAGACCAGCCTTTGAAAACCCTTTCAGAATCATTCATACTAGACGTAAATGCCACTGGCCTGCAAACAGGCAGTTTACCTTGGATGTCAATGGTACACCGACATTAATGTGAGATATAAACCATGCCATCACTTTACATTGACTTAAAAGACCAGCTCAGAATAACTGCACATACAGGAAAATACATTTCTGTCTAAAGAACAAAGATTTTGCCTAATGACAAAAGAAGAGGTTGAAACATCTGAGCTTGTCTTTGTACAAATCTTGTATAAGCTTAACATTCCTGTATCCTGTAGCCTTCTTTATAGCGCTTTTGCTCTCTTATAAAACTCTATATCGCTGCCTTTAAAAGCCTCACTTTTCTCTAAAATGTGGGCTGCTAAAGACAAATGTCAAGACTCCCAAAGCTTGAAAGAAAACAAATCATTTCTACAATTTCAATCTACAAATTAAAGCAAATATCAGAGTCGAGCCACATAGGAACAGTTTTATATAATTATTCTGTGGTGCCTGTGATTCAGGTGGGTCTACCAAAATGATTTCTAAGCTTTACAGCAAGCTCAGGAGTTGCAGACTTGAATCCACAATGTGTATCAAAGAAAAGCACAAGCTGGGAAAGTTCTGAAGCAGACTGTAAGCAGACTGCTTACCAGTATTGTGTTTATGTCAGATATATAAACACTGAAAATTTGTATTTCATTTACTCCATGTGTTTTGTCAAGTGGGTATTTTTAAAGCCTATAAACACTGATATTTACTCTTGCAGGCATTGGATCCAATATATTTAGTTTTGATTTGAAAAAAATCGTGTCAGAAAACGCTGCATTTTCATGTCGTTTATTTGTGTTGTGTGTGTAACTGCCTTTAGAGGTTCATTCCAGATCCCAATTCACAA